TGGATATTCAATTAAAAAATTGCATAGCTAAAGACTCTTTTTATGCCGGAATTTTTCAAATACATAGACTTAATCAAAACCTTTAGTTTTCCGTGAAATACCTTTATTGAAAATGTATAGCTTTTTCTTAGCTAGCACAAAAAGTTTTCGAAAAGTTTCCTAATACGAGGAAAGGTTTTAAAGGAGGCTTTAAGTTTCGCCCAATAAAAATAAACTAAAATCAAACTGTTCAAATAATTAAAATAATGATTTGATCCAAATAATTATTCATAATATTGATTCTTTACACTGCACACTAAAATTAAACTCGAGATCTCGTAAAAGATTTAATCTTGAAGAAAAATGAATTTAGAAGGCGAGGTCTTTTGGTAAGGCCAAAGTAAGCATGCAATGCCAAACTTGTAATTGTCAAAATTCAGGTCAATTTTAAAGGGACTGTAAACGTTATTTTCATTGAATCTCTATGCAAAGTTGACAATACCTAATTCACAACTGTGCCCTTGACATCGTTATCTGATCAATAATGTGGAAGATATTGTCGTTTTTCTCAGCCTCTGGAACTGTTTAATTTCTGCATCAGTAGAAACCACAGTTGAATATTATCAGTACCGATAGTAATCAGGCAATTGCAATCTTTGCATTAAGATTGACTTGAAATTACACTTACAGTCCCTTTAAAACAAGGTTTATACGGTGCAATGTTATTAAAAGGAATCTACAAATTTGTGGTTTTTAAATTTTACAAAATAACTTAAAACCCTAAAAAAAGTTTTTGAGCGTCCAAAAAGTATTTAAACTTAGAATATACATTTAAAGTTTATATAAACATGAGAAACCATGAACCGAACTATAAATGTTTAATACTTCTAAAAGCAAAAATTGAGGATTTCAACTTAGATATTACAGTGATAACCAGAAAACTGTGGAAATAGTAAGACGACATTAAAGAGTATTTGATGTTGTAGCAAAGGAAAGTGTTTTACTGGCATGATTCATTAAATTCCTCAGTAAGGTAAATGGGTCTGTTTCCATTGGTAAATCTTAGTAGACTATTTAAAGTCATAACTTGAGGTTAAAAGTCGTCTTCTCTTCTCACTGTCCAAAATTTACCGATCTTTTTCTCAAGTAATGAAAAAATATTTTACCTTCGGTCCTAATTGCGCATCTGGCAATTCCATTTCCGGTAGCGCAAATCTGCGAGCCTTGTTTATTGTCAATAAAACAACGAATTCCGGAGCCTAAAAAATAAATTATACTAGCTGAAGGGCCCGGCGTTGCCTGTGGAAAACAATTTTCAAAAAAAAAATATATTGATATAAAAAAGAATAAAAAAATTGTTTTCGTTTTATTTTAAGCCTTTAACACCACCCGGTCACCCATGCGTGTCCACTAGATTGAAGTTAAGTTAAAATAACCAGATTAGATTAGGGTCTCAATGGGGTTTCAACGGGTTTTCAATGGGTTTTCAANAGATGCTGTTTCCTTAGACTGACTAAAACCTGTATTCTCAGACTTTCCAGTGGTTCCTGCAGCACCTCCCCCTTGAGGACGTCCTCCTCTCTGCCCAGCAAAGCATCCTCCTGATCTTTCCTCCGCTGTGAAGCCATCCGCCTCCAAGAAGAAGTCTGTGATGTTCCTCACCAAACCTGAGATTATACCAAGACGGAACCCACAGACATGCCAGGGTAAGAAGTTCCTGCTCCGCCTTGTCTCCGCCGTTCCTTCTTGGGGGGAGTACTGTGGCAGCGGCGTGGCAGAAGACGAGCTGAAGAGTCTGGCGTCGGATATTGAGATGTGGCAAGAGGGGGGGTATTTTTCCTGCCACGTCATCATCTATATTGAATGTTTTAGTTTAATAATAAGTTATTTATTTAGTAATAAAGTATTTATCTTAAACCGAGGAAGTTATTCTGATCGAATCTAAAATGGCTGGAATATTCTTGGATTATAGTTAATCAGATAAAAGTTGGATATTTGAATAGTTTGGATAGTTTGACAAATTGTTATTCAGTGAATCTATCATCTTTTTATTTTTCAACTTTTAGCCTCCTCATAAAAATATTTATCAACTAGTATTCTATTAAAAATATGCATCTGTTAAAGGGCCTGTAAGTGAAATATCAAGTCACTTTTCATGCTCTGATGGGAGTTTACAACGGTAACCTTAAAACCTTTATGACTTCTCAATGATGAGGGAAGATTATTTATCTAACCCAAATAGATTATCAACGACTTAAAAAGTGTCAAATGTAACAAGGAAGACGACAGTTTACCTTTCATTTATAAATGCCAAATATATATATATATATATATTTGGTTCATGTTTATATATTTATTTATCTATATAAAACATAAATAATCAAAGTCCAGCATGATTAACCCACAGTGCAGTGAAGGACACATTAGGATTGGGAGACACAACAAACTAAAGTAAATTGCTTTTAAGATTGAAAAAATAACTTCTCTCATTAAACAGCTGAAAAGAACAAAAATGTTTTAACTTTTATCAATTCTATTTAATTTTATTTTATTTCATTTTATTCTATTTAATCGTTTGAAAACATTTCGCATTTTTCGTAAAAAAAACTTTTTCGGACCGAAAATTTAGCACTTTTTCGCAGCTCGTTCGCTCGCGAAAAATGCAAAAATTTTCCATTTTTTTCGCTAGAGTTTTCATTAGCTGGAAACCCTAAATTCATAACTGAAGGAGCTACGAGTTCCCAAAGTTACACCAGTGATGTCGCATAAATTTTACTTTCATCTTCTTTCTAGTTTGCGATGGGGTGTCGTGTCTATCTCTCTCTAGTTCTCTTCATAAATATTCTACTAACCTGCTCATCAAGAACAACTTGGCAAATCTTAAATAAACAATAATCAAATATTTATATATACACTTTGCTTGTCTGTTTGTGTTTAATAAACGCCAAAACGAAAACAGATCGGGCCCAATCTTTTATACGCAAGTGCAGCTCACATGCCGCAATCATGCAATGGGAGGTTTTTGGACCATTAAAATTGAACTATTTTGCCCGGGGAAAAGAAAACATAAATTTGGAAAATGCACCAATTTAAATAAGAAAATTTGCCCTAATTTAGAGCAAAAGATAATTTTTTTAGTAAGAAATTTAAATAAGCTTTGAGTGTTCGTGAAAAATCAAAGGCTAACGTCGAAAAATATTCTATTGTAATTGCTACTGATCTTACTTCTATCTGCTGCGTCTAAGGTTGTTAATCGTTTTTGTTTCGTTTTCAAAAACAATTGTTTTGGTTTCAGAGAGTTGCAATATTCGACTTGAATCGTAAAAAATTAATTTAATTAAAAACAAATTAATCAGATATTATAATCATCGATAATTTTCGACGCATTCGTACACATAGTTGATATTTCATTATGTTTTTTTATTTTTTTTTATGATTTAAGAGTTACTTTTGAAAACATTTATTCCTATTTCCAGGATTTTTAATGGCTCAGCTACATTTTGCCTAGTCACAATTTGCCTAGTCACATTTTACCTAGTCACATTTTGCCTAGTCACAATTTGCTTAGTCACATTTTGCCTAGGTAACATTTTGCCTAGTTACAACTTGCCTAGTCACATTTTGCCTAGGTAACAGTTTGCCTAGGTAACATTTTGCCTAGGGTAACATTTTGCCTAGAGTAACAAAAGAGCGAATTTTTCGCCTAGTCTATAATTTTTTCACAAAGAAATTTTCAATCCGATAATTTTTTTAAAAATCCGCAAATTTTTTTGCAAAAATTGCGCAATTTTTTTTTAATAATTCAATTTTCTATAAACCAATCAGATCGAGAGACACATTGAAAATGGCTCCTATGATAACTGCAGGGCTTACCATGCGGGGTAAGCCCAACTACAGGGATAAGAATAACCATGGCCTTACCAACAAGCTGCTAAAAATCAAAGCCACAGAAAAGATTGAGAAATAAGATAATTAATGATAAATAAAGATATAACCTGTACAAGATACAATTCAATTGTCCTATAAAATTTAATTCATTAAAATTGAACTGGTTAAGCTAAATGTTTAATTTTTGACAAAATTTGTTATAAAAAAAAGCAATAGGAAAAAAACATGCTCTTGCGTTACCTAGGCAAAATGTTACCCTAGGCAAAATGTTACTAGGCAAACTTGAACTAGGCAAAAAGTTACCTAGGCAAAATGTTACCTGGGCAAAAGTGAACTAGGCAAGTTGTGACTAGGCAAAATGTGACTAGGCAAATTGTGACTAGGCAAAATGTAGCTGAGCCTTTTTAATAATGAAGACGACATTTTCATATTACAACCTATAATCATAGATTTTTTTGGTTTAAATACAATGCATGTAAAACAACGATTTTTTGTCCACTTTGGGTCTTTCCCATGTGGAACCATGCAAAATTTGGCGAAAACAATTTTCGCGAAAAGTATTTTCGTTCACATCATTTTCGTATCTTTTCGCTTTTTTTCATTTTCGCAAAAAATGTGAAACTTCGCGAACAAGTTTGCGAATAAAGAACAAAATTCTCGAATATTTTTTGCATTTTTTTCACAAAAGTTTTCCTTCACTGAAACCCTTCCCTAGGGTAATATGAATTTTATTGGAAACAAAGAAACAAACCAATGTAACTAGATAACCAGCAAAGTATATTTACAATGTGAACAGACTGGAGGCTGTTTCATTTTTCTGAAAACATTTCAGAAATCTTTTTATTTTAAAATTTATTTAAGATTTATACTTTAGGAACAAGGAAAATGATGTTATTTTTCTTTATTACCTTGCCATTTTCATTTTCATTTTTTTCTAAAATTCGATTTTCATATTTTTTTCGGAAATTCTATGACCAATGTCGGGCACTTGAGCCAGTACTAAATAAAGGTGAAAATACCAATTCTCTAAACAGAACTCTGAACAGGAAGAGAACCAACACAACGAATATGAGGTAAAGGAATTGAGTTTTTGCCACAAATCCCAATTTTATAATACCTATATCTCAACAACCAGATCATGCATACCTTTCATATTTCAAACTTACATTGTTTGATCCACCAGAGTTCATAGTTTGAAATATCTACGGTCTACGACATTTGGTTTTAAAGAAATTGTGTTTTAAAAATCCGAGTTTGTGGCAAAGACTCAATTCCTTTGGGAACATTTTTTTCCGGTCAAAACTTTCTTGGTAGTTGAGCTGAAAATGCGATATTGTGGAGAAATCTTTTAAGATTCATTTGAGACCGATCAGACGTTTTCACAGTGTGTATTTGTCTAGCAAGAGCGCAAATTCAATCTTTATAATTGTCATGGATCGTCCTAGAAGGATGATATTGATAATCGCTTAAAAAAATATTGGTTTCTGTAATGTCTGGCTGTTCATAAAATTTTTTTTGAACATTTCCTGAAATTTTTATTGAAAAGACGATATTTTAAGAATTTCAAAATATCTACAAACAAATTCATAAAGAATGAGAAATTTAATATAATGAGGATAAAGAAATAATTGATTTTGACATTGATTTATTGACAAATTCCTACCAAAGAAACATGTTCCTAAATTAGTTTACTGAAGAATTTTTGCTACACGTCTGACAACATTTCAATTAATACTTTGGATTTTTTTAGGAATTTGAATAACATGAACAAAATAGAATAAATCTTTATTCTCTCAAAAATAAGTATAAGCAAATTTAAAAATTAAATCTAATAAAAGTTATCGTTAAAAAATATTTCCAAATCCAAATTCTTTTTGCCCAAATATTTTTGTAATAATCTTTTTAATACGGGTTAGTGAAATTTTTTATCATACCAAATTATATTTTTTTTCAGAAGGAATACTTTGAAATATACGGTGAATACCCCTCTAGGAAATGATGAATAGATTTATAGACAACCTTTACATTTTAATTTATTCTACAGCAGTAGGCGATTATATCAATGCAATGAAGACGACTTTTTATTTAAGTTTGATTGTTTACAAGGTTTTTTCGAATTACTAGTTTACAAGTAATCAAAGAGAAGCTTTTTAAATTGTTAGCTTCTCATAGTATAGATAAAATCGAAAATCGTCTTCATTGTATTAAAAGAATCTCTTACCACTATACTAAATTCAGTTTATTTGAATGTTTTGAAATAATTAATAAAGTGTTAAGGAGTGTTTTCTGGGTAAAGAAATACAGTAAGTCAAATTAAAAAGGGCGCTTTCTATAGATAAACTTTTAATTTTTGCTTAATCTTTCAGCCTTTTCTCATTTATAAAACAGTAGTAAAAATTTTGCGGATTTGATTTTTTTTTCATGGATTTTTAAAATTTTAGAAAAATCTAAAAGTTTTCCATACTTTGTTAATTCTGTGAGATTCCACACAATTTTTGGGCTCAATCGGCTCCAGGCCCGTAGCCAGGGTTTGACCAGAGGGGGGGGGGTGCAATTTATGACGCGCCGCAGGTGAAAAATTTATTTGGGGGGGTTTTTAATGATTTTTTAAACAATGTTTGGTTTGGTTTTACAGTGGCAAGTGGTTGTTTTTATTACATTGTCAATGCACACTATAAAGGCTAACCTTTTTAACAAGTGTATTTGAGCTTTTAAGGGAGTACTGCTTAACTAAGAGAGTCAAGTAATCATTTATACTTTGACTTTGCAATTTGAAAATGATATGGTCTTATTTCTTATTCATTTAAAAAAAAGCTTTTCAAGGGTCAAGGGGGTGCTATAGAAATGCCTCACCACGGAAATGCCTCAAAAAAACAGACTCATAAAACATAGCACATCGGTCAAGGGCAGGGGGCTAAAAGTCTGAAAGTGTACAGGAGATTACATTTCATTTGCATGGGACTCTATGCATATAATTAAAAAATCATACTGTTTTAATTATACTTAAACAACTATTAAATGACTATGAGTAAAATTTGATGTTGTGTTATATTTAATCAACAGAGTGTACTGATCAACTATTAGTTAGCCTGCGATGGGTCACAGGAGAGACATGACTCAGGGGATGAGTTGAGAGAAAAACTCCGTCACACTTTTAATGAGTAATGCACAAATAGATTATAATTTGGTTTGGAAATCAATTCTTACTCAGGTTATATAATTTATAACTAGATTTTAGAAACTTATGAAAACAAATTCTTTTTTTTATGGGACTAGGGGGGGCTGCAAATTCGCTGTTGCACCCCTCTTTCAGAAGAAAGGGGGGTGTACCTGCACCCTTGCACCCCCCCTGGCTACGGGCCTGATCGGTTCAGCTCTTTTGACGTCAATTGGACACAAACAGACAAACGAGTAAATATAAAGGATGTGCAAAACCCAAATTAACATACTCATGTCTGTTTCCTTACATTCATTATTTCCTGAAACTGTTAAATTGTGTTTCTCTTTGCCAAATCATTGTCATTAAAAGAATATATTCAATGTTAAACTAAAATTGACCATGGGATTGTTGTTTTTAGCTAGGAAGAAAATTGTTAACCTATAGTCATTGATTTTTTTTTCGACGCATTCATATAAAGTTAATATTTAATATTCTTTTTGTATACAATGCACTTGAAACGCCGAAATAGTTGGCCGCCAGATGTCTCAGCTCTCGATGCTTTGAACGATATACATGTGGCAGAGACAAGTTTAAAAAAGTGCACTAATACAAATACCAAATATTATAAAATATTAACTATACACGAATGCGTTGAAAAATAAATAATGACTTTATAGGTTGTGATATCTCAATGATTTGTTTGAAATTAAATTGATTATTTTACGATACAATTCTTATTTCGCTACTTTCTTCAGTATAGATGCAGCAGATAGAAGTAAAATTAGTATCGATCAAAAGCGATTATTTTTCGCCGTAAGCCTATACCCACTTTCTTTTTTCTCAATAACACTCCCTGTAACTTGTATTTAATGTCTTATCCTTTGCAGGCAACCCTGTACATTAACAACCTTTTCATGTCATTTGAATGAGGTATATGGACTACCAAGATTATGTTGAAAGCACAGCAAGTCCTGAGGAATTTTATATTCCAAGAAACGAATCGTTTTGGCCTTCTGTTCTTTTCCTGGATCCAGGGGTGTATATTTTTAATTATTAAATGAAAGTAACTAAAAAATTCAACAATAAAAAGCTAGGTTTTTTTTCATTACATTTTTTAATTTTCTCCTAAAATTTATTTATTTCCCCCGCTTCATCGAGTAAAACCCTACAAAAATAAAAATGTCAATTAAAAAGTGATATTTTTTTTTGGGGGGGGGGAAATTTTCAAAAAGGAGGGGGATAATTTTTTGGAGAAAATATACACCCCCGACTTGAATTCAGAGGAGCCTGCCATAGATTACGATGCATTTTACGACACTAAGGAAAAAAAAGAAGAAGAGGGTAAGTCGTGGTATAACTATATAACAGTTTCATGTGAACCTCAATATCTGATTTATAGTGTGAAAATATTGTCGTTTTTCTAGGTTTAAAACTGTTTAATTATAATCAATAATTAATAATTAATTGATAATTAATAACAATAATATCTAATTCATACTTGATCACTGATCAATGATCAGGTAAAGGTGTACGGTTGTGAATAAGGGCATTGTGATTAAAAAGGTAGTCTAGCTCTCAAACTTTGGTCAAACAAAATAGGATAAAACGATCTAGGTTCAAACGAAATAAGGTCAAACTCAAAGGACAAACGGTCAAAACACGACAAAGGGTCAAAATGACAAAAAATCTGCAGCTAGGATGGGCTAATGGGCCGAGCATTGAGGCCACTTAAATACTAAATAAATGTCGGACTTTGACCCTAAGTCGTTTTAACCATAGTTGCGTTTTTGACCATAGGTCTTTTGACCATCGGAAGTTTATGACCCTATGTCGGTGAATCAAATATATAAATTAGTACAAAACATGTTTATACATCCATTTTTCTAAGGCTTTCTGATAGACATCAATTTGATAACAGGAATTCTTATAACTATAAAACTTTTTTGGAGCACTAAGATGTTTTGGATAAATCCGAGTTTTTTTAGGCGAGATGTTGCAGTTGGTGAGACTGATTGGAGAGACTGCATACGAGTATGAAAAGGTTATTTCTAAAGCAAAGGAATTAAGTCTTTGCCACAAACTTGAATTTTAGATCTAACAGAATTAATAGCTTGAAATATCTATAAAGTCTACGACATCAGTTTGCAAAGAAAAAGGAGTCAGAAAATCAGAGTTTGTTGCAAATATTCAATTCTTTTTATAAAACCTAAAAGGGCTGCAGAAACTTTTGAGGCCTTGCATTGCTCTCATTTTAAAACTATTATTATAAAATCCATAGAAGTATGAGTTCGTGGATTTGGTGATTTTGTGTACATTTATAATCAACATTTAACATTTAAGAGGATGCAGTGCTTAGCCCCTAGCCCATCCTAGCCGCAGTGCTTGGCCCAGAAATTGTCTTAACCTAACCTAACCCAAAATAATGTGAGAAACAGCACATTATTTAACATTTAATAGCCCGCAGCGCTTGGCCCCCTAGCCAAGCTATCTATGTTTATTTATTTATCAATGATAAAATCTAAATAAATATAAAAAATTTATATATAAAACCTAATTTTTTTATTACAAGCCTGTTGGGCAGCCATGCCAATATGCATTTAAAAAAAATTCTAAATAGCCAATAATCCTTCATAATATTTTTTTGCATTTTTCGGACATATTTATTTGTAATTTTATAATCAGATAAAACTTCTTAAGTGCTTTTAGGTTTCAGCCTATTCCCTCTTTCATTTTTCCTGAACAGTCCCTTTTAGTTAGTTTTCGAGAGTGATTTTTTAACTTTTTAAATTTTAATCTATTTTTTTAAATTTTAGAGACAGGAATGTCAGAACAAAAACAAGGTGTTCAGTAAATCAGACATCAAGTGCTACGAACAACTTACTAGGTAATAAGATTTTTAAATCTTTTTTTCAAACTTTTTACAAAATTTTAAGACTTTAAAGATAGAGATATGGGCGTGTTCATCTTTTTTATTTCGTTCACAAAAACGATGGTAGGTTCAATTCAAAACTGTGTTCTTTTAAAGTGGCTTTTATTAAAAAATTGAAAAACGAACCCATAAATCTACTATTTTAACACGTTTGTTTTTCGTCATAGTGCAAAATCAAATCAAGTACTTAAGTTAAGTCAAATCAAGAACTCAAGTTAAGTAAAATCATGTGCTCAAGTTAAGTCAAATCAAGTACTCAAGTTAAGTCAAATCAAGTACTCAAGTTAAGTCAAGTCAAGTACTCAAGTTAAGTCAAGTCAAGTACTCAAGTTAAGTCAAATCAAGTACTCAAGTTAAGTCAAGTCAAGTACTCAAGTTAAGTCAAGTCAAGTACTCAAGTTAAGTCAAATCAAGTACTCAAGTTAAGTCAAATCAAGTACTCAAGTTAATTGTCAAATCAAGTACTCAAGTTAAGTCAAGTCAAGTCACTTTTGTAGAGAATCTACAATTGAAAATAATCAGTTTTCAATATTATAAACACTCATGATGTAATTAATTCTAGATCAAACCAAACTTTTAAGGGTTTAAGGGTACTGTTTCATCCAGACAGAACACACACTAGGCTGAGAGAATATCAGAAATATGAAGACGTCATTCAAAAATTGATTTTTTAATTATTCCTGCGAGGTGGGATAAGCATTACAGTTAAACTATGCGAGGTGGGGAAACCAATTTTATTATGAGCCAGTTTTAAGAAATAAAAAATAATTGATTTACAGAATATAGATAAACAAATGTGTTAGAACAAAATGTTATAATTTTGTACTGAAGATTTCTTATATTATATATATTATATAATTTGAAAACAAAAAAGGCCAAATATACACATTGAGTAGGCTTTGTTGTACTGAAGATTTTTAATATCACAATTTCCTACTAATCATCATGGAAACATTACATAAATTATAGATTTTTATAGATTTTAAGAAATAAAAATAATGATTTTATCTTACTGTAAGAAAATATCTTAATCTATAAAAATATACTTTTCTTGTCTCTCCATGGGTGTCCTGGTGTTTGTGTGTTTGTTCGTATCCAATAAAACTATACTGATGTTAATATTAAACAAAACAGAATTTTGTAAACATTTACATTATAAAATGACACAAATTTGTATTGCAAGGGGTACTTATCTATCTTAATTGTACAAATATGTATCCTCTTGGCTTCAATAGAATGTCGTCTTCTAAATATATTCGAACCTGGTGTTTGTCCAGTCTGGATTATGTGATGTTGTGAATCACCCATTTCCTTTTTTGCATAAGGAGTTATTTTAAATTACACTAACAGTTCTCTAAGTTCTTTTTAGTTTGACCGCTAGATGTCATACCTTAGAAAAGATGTTTCCCCTGCTTTGCCATTTTTATGATGTTCATTGTTCACAACAATCAGGCTTCTTGGGATGCGCCTAAAGAATGTCCTATACAATGTGCAGATTTGCAAAATTCCAAATTTGTCTTGCAAAATTCCATAGAGAATAGAATATATGTTAGAGGGGAATTTAGAGAATCTCTCAGTATGAATTTGTTCAGTCCCTTTCAGCCTGAAAGGGAGTTCAAAGTGTACAAATCATGTAAATGTTCACAAATTATATGCAGTAGTACATTAATACAGTAGTATGTTCCCTAGACTATTCATTTCAATTTCGAATTTTTTAAAGCTGTTAAATAAACTTTATAATGAATTATGTGAATAAAAACATCATTTTATTTATAGTTATAACGGAAAATCATCATTTGTAAAGTAAAAGACATAGATTCTATGTGAAGTGATCATTGGTCAATTATGAAACCATCCTATTTCATAATTTGGTTTTCTTTTAACATTAATTTTAGATTTTTTTTAAAATGATATTCCAGGGCCCAAAAGGTTCTATAGCATAAATATGTGAAGTACACCTGCAGTATGGAAACAGTACAACAAAATGGCCGTTTTACACTTTTTTCTTGTAAATTCCCCTCTAATATATATTCTATTCTCTTTGATTATACCTAGTTCACGTTTTATCTGCAGGGGACCTTGTGCGGAGGACGAAGTGTTTTTTGACCATGAGGAGACTTATCAAGGAGAATGTAGGAAAAATGTTTGCCAGAACGTCAAGGTCTGCTTTCTTTTGCGCGCTCTAACTGCAAACTTAAGCTAGAAACGCGCGAGTTGCATGTTTTAAATTTGTATCCCTAGCTAGGGCTACAGACAGAGTATAAGCAAGCTTTGGCGAGGTGAAACTAATGGCTAACTGAAGTCGAGGTTTGATCACTAACTTTCAGAGTTGTCTAAATCTCAGTGCTAATTTTTACACAAGTAATCAGAAGGTTTAACCACCAAAAAATGTAACCCAGAAATTTAATTTTTTTGCCACTTTCAAATAAAAGTTGATAACTTTTTGCATGTGCTCTAAAGATTAACCTAACATTAAATCATTTTGATTCAATCAAAAACATTTGAAAAAAGGGTTTTAATTTCCATCATGTCATTTCAGAAATCTGTTCTACATGTTTTCTAGCTTGATAACCCCAGCGCTGCCCGGGGTACTTACGCCCTTTTCCCGCGCTTGTTCGTGAATTAGTATTTTAGCTCATTTTCCTAATAAAAGTTGACCAACTCAACTTTGAATCTCAAAACCAAGCTATAAGCACATTTTCTGTTTCTCCCTAGACCCAATCAAAATGTTAGATATCACAGTGATAACCAGAAAACTGTGGAATACTTGACTTTTTCTTCTTTTCTTTTTATTTCAAAATGACCCTAAAGATTTTGTAAATGTAAGTTGTTTAGTGTTAAAGATAGAGACAAGGACGAAATATATTCCACAGTTTTCTGGTTAACATACTGTTTGATTATTTTCAGGATACTTACCACGATTCTTGGTGGGGGTGAAATTACCCCCCATAAAAACTAGCTACGCTTCTCCAACTGTATGATTGTTTCAGGAATTGTTACTTACCAAGAATGGGAGTTCTAGTTGCGTTGATGTTAAAACGGATTGCAAGGGTGGTATGCAACGTTATTACGACAGGTGGGTTGCAAGGGTGGTATGCAACATTATTACGACAGGTGTGTTGCAAGGGTGGTATGCAACATTATTACGACAGGTGGGTTGCAAGGGTGGTATGCAACTTTATTACGACAGGTGGGTTGCAAGGGTGGTATGCAACATTATTACGACAGGTGGGTTGCAAGGGTGGTATGCAACTCACACTGCCTGAATGACTGCTTTTTCCTGTAACAAACTAAATCTTTGTTTTGACCCACTTTCACTTATCAGATTTTGATAAAATTTAGCTTTTTGGAAAGCCTGTGACAAAAAATTGCAATATTTTGCTAACAATCTGTCAAAGGAAATTTGCACATTCTAAGTTTTTCTTGATTAAAAATCAGGTTATTTAAAATTTTGCAACAATTTTTGCATATTTGAAATGGCATGGTCAAGGGCTTTTCAAACATGTATAATTTTTCATTGTTTGGGCAAATTTTTTTTTGCAAACAATTTTACTATGTAACTGGATTTTGCAATAAAAAATTCAATTTTTGCAAATTTGCACATTTTTTTTGCAGATTCTAAAAGCAGAGCACAAGAGCTTTCTAATGATGTATCATTTGTCAAATTTGGAAATCAAACATGGGATTTAGAGGGGGGGGCAAATTGCCTCCCCCCCCAGCAGGAATAGGGTTAAAAAGTCAAACACCAAAAAATATATCCCAGAAATTTAGTTTTTTAACCCCTTTCAAAAAAAAAATTGATAACTTTTTGCATGTGTTCTTTAGATTAACCTAACATTAAATCATTTTGATTCAATCAAATACATTTGAAAAAGGGTTTTAATTTCCATCATTTCATTTCAGAAATCTGTTCTACATGTTTACTAGCTTGATAACCCCAGCGCTGCCCGGGGGTACACATAGTTACTTACGCCCTTTTCCCGCGTTTGTTCGTGAATTACTATTTTAGCTATTTTTCCTTATAAATGTTGACCCACTCAACTTGACTTTTTCTTCTTTTCTTTTTATTTTAAAAATAACCTTAAAGATTTTGTAATTTGTAAGTAGTTTAGTTCTTATAGATATAGGAAAGGACGACATATATTCCGCAGTTTTCTGGTTAACATACTGAGTGATTATTTTCAGGAAGTAATATCTTTGATACTTACCACGATTCTGGGTGGGGGAAAAATTACTCCCCAGAATTATAAGGGGGGGGGTATGCACATTATTACGACAGGTGGGTTTAAGTTTAAATGGAGTGTTCACTTAGTTCTACATGCCACTGTAAACTGCGGTTCAATTCAAGTACCCGGCAGATTTTTAAGCAGTATAGAGAGCTAGCAAGCTGTACAATATTACAGACTATTTAAGGCAAAACGGGACTGTACACCTAATGAACACCCCCTAATAGTGAAATTTTTGTGAAATTTTTGTAGAATTCTTGTTAAAATTGTCCATAATGAACCCCCCTCTATAAGTTGAATGATTTTAGACAACATGTACTCTGTACTGTACATGTACTGTGTACTGTACATGTACTGTGTACTGTACATGTACTGTGTAACTGTACATTTTATACTTACTGGAACATTCTTCCAAATTCTGGTCAGAAATTCTTTAGAAAGGTTTTTTTTTTACTAATTCCAGTTATGTCAGGTTTTACAAATTGGGCAAAAATTCCATTAAAAGATGAAGAAATTTTTATTTTACTTAACAGGAGAAAAAGTAAAAAGAAAACCATAAGCAATGGAATGTCTGATTCACAACGGTACCCTTGAAACAGCTTTATATCTGATCAATTATGAGGAAGATATTGACGTTTTTCTAGGTTAAGTGTTTATTTCTGATAATCATTATATATATTTTCCTTCAGGGATAATGCGCAATCAATTTTTCTAAATTATAAACATTGATATCTGATTCTATACTTGATCAGATCAAGCTTTAAGGGTACCGTGGTGAATCGGGCATTGCCATCATTGTATAAAGTGTCACTTGAAATACGCTTACAGTCCCTTAAATTCATCTTTATATAAAGTTAAATTAGAAAATATGAAGGTTTGGTGGAACTGCCTGTGGATGCATGAAGAACCTTCTTTATGATGAGGAACTAGAGGAATGTTTTAACGAATTCTCTCATGGAAATTGTTCACATGGCACTTGGAGGAGAAATGAAACACAAGCCGATGAGGTTAGAAACTTCAACCTGAATCGTTTTTTAACAAATCGCAACCCTACTTTCTCTCACTAAATTCATATAATTTTCTGCTCAATATGTTTCGCCAAAAACATTCTTCATATAATATTACAAACAAATAAAAATGTTAGACAAACAAACTTAAAAAGTCAAATAAAAAACTAGAATATTGTTCCTTACTTGTTTGAAGAGTATTATATGACAGGAAAACTAGAATATTGTTCCTTACTTGTTTGAAGAGTATTATATGACAGGAAAACTAGAATATTGTTCCTTACTTGTTTGAAGAGTATTATATGACAGGAAAACTAGAATATTGTTCCTTACTTGTTTGAAGAGTATTATATGACAGGAAAACTAGAATATTGTTCCTTACTTGTTTGAAGAGTATTATATGACAGGAAAACTAGAATATTGTTCCTTACTTGTTTGAAGAGTATTATATGACAGGAAAACTAGAATATTGTTCCTTACTTGTTTGAAGAGTATTATATGACAGGAAAACTAGAATATTGTTCCTTACTTGTTTGAAGAGTATTATATGACAGGAAAAGTTCAAGTGAACCTTCATTTGTAGCGGGGAGTAGTCGATTAACATCAGTACACTTTAATTCTTTATGATCAAAGATGCCTATTCTTCTAAATCAACAGAAACGATTAAGTAACTGTTGGACACTTTGTTTTGGATTTTCGAGAAAGACATGTGTTGATTTCACACTGCAACCCTACACTCTAGTTTTACGACATTTTGAACCATTTTAATTCACGCTTACAGTCCCTTTAATAAACTTTTTCCGATGTTAGTCTCAAATCTGTATTTTCATTATTTTCTTTTTTAATTTTTGGAATAAGCAAAAGTTTAGATTTGGGAGTTTAATTTTCCATCAACGCGTATACACAATAAATATATACATAACGAGGAAGGGAATGCAACCTCCCCCACACAGCTTCATAACCTCATTTATCTATTTGCGCGTCCCCATAGGGCTTCCGACCCTCCCCAAAACAGTCTTCCGGGAATGTTCTTCCATTTGTTTATCGCATAACAGTCAAAGTAGACAAATTTAAAGGTATGATCACTCCGTGTTATCATGATCAGAACATTAGCGATTGGTCTAATTTCTTGCAAGCAATTATTCAAATAAAAATAAGTCAAATAAAAGACGACATTTTTTTTAGAATGTCGCCTTTCCAGCTTTTCCAGTTGGGTATTGTAAACCAACAAATTGCAGTGAGGGTGAAATAGAATACAAGTCTGGTATATGCTACAGGTTATAATATATTTGAAAATACAATTAGTTGGTTGGATGGACGCATCTACATTCCACACTCATCGATATTGTGCGTCCGCATTCCACACTCATTGATCTTGTGCGTCCACATTCCACACTCATCGATCTTGTGCGTCCACATTCCACACTCATCGATCTTGTGCGTCCACATTCCACACACATCGATCTTGTGCGTCCACATTCCGCACTCATGGATCTTGTGCATCCACATTCCGCACACATCGATCTTGTGCGTCCACATTCCACACACATCGATCTTCTGCGTCCACATTCCACACTCATCGATCTTGTGCGTCCACATTCCACACTCATCAATCTTGTGCGTCCACATTCCACACTCATCGATCTTGTGCGTCCACATTCCACACTCATCGATCTTGTGAGTTCACATTCTACACTCATCGATCTTGTGCGTCCACATTCCACACACATCGATCTTGTGCGTCCACATTTCACACATATCGATCTTTGCGTCCACATTCAACACACATCGATCTTGTGCGTCCTCATTCCACACACATCGATCTTGTGCGTCCAATTTATCTTGCTAAATTCAGAACTTCAGTGCAATAACTTTTGACAAACATGAGTGATGAATTTAAAATTGTTCTTTGTTTAGATTTTTGCGGCTTTTTTAATTGAACATAGTTTGCAGTAAACCAGTGAAAAAATAATATCGAAGAATCCCAGTTTTGAGATTTCAAAAATGTGTTCGGCAATTTTTACAATTTTTATTTTATTTTTAATTTTGCTTTAGGCTCGATGATTCTATTGCAACCAGACAGTGCAATGGCGAAATAATACTTGAAAACGACTCTGAGGAACTTCATTTAATCTGCTCTTCAGATGGCCAAGGAATAAAACCAAAATATAATATAAACGTTTAAATTTATAATTGGCTTACACCAAATTCAGAAAAGAGCGTTTGCAGGAAAATATTTGCGTTTACCAAGATGGAAGGTACTTTCCTTAGCGTTATCTTCCATAGCATAGAGTAATTTCCCAATTGGCAACTTCCCAAATTTGTCCTATCCGCAGCACTCAGTCCCATAATCTATAATATCCGCAGCACTCAGTCCCATAATCTATAATATCCGCAGCGCTCAGTACCATAATCTATGATAGCCGCAGCGCTCAGTCCCATAATCTATAATAGCCGCAGCGCTCAGTCCCATAATCTATAATAGCCGCAGGGCTCAGTCTCATAATCTATAATAGCCGCAACGCTCAGTCACATATAATCTATAATAGCCGCAGCGCTCAGCTACCTTTGCAGCCTAAGGCGCCTAAGAAAGCTAACCTTTACCTTTGGGAAGTTGCCGCTGGAGAAATTTCACATTTGGTAATTTTCCACTTGAGAAATTCTCACTTGGGAAGTTTCACTTACCTTAACACCTTGACTACCAAAGCTCTAAAACTAAGTTTGCAAAGAACTGTGGTTTCCAGTAAGATGCAAAATTTGTTGTTAATTTTACGTGCGATTTTTCTAGTTTGGGGAATGAATGGCTTACTTCTCAGTATTTTGCGTTAATGAGTTTCGTGAACAAATTTCACGAAAAACAAGCTTTTGTCTAAACCCCTAGATTGGTTTAAACATTACTGGATCCTTTCCAAGCATCATTTTGGTTATAAGGGAGAAATCAAAACGATAGACTCAAGAAATACTGCAGAAAAGGATATAATTGGAATAATTACAAGAAAAAATGCGTTAAGTCTAGAGCAAGATTTGGGTAACCGCCAACAACGTTTTCGAAGAATAGTTTCCGGAAATAATGTTCTCAAGTTTGGTACTGAAAACACCCCGTGGAAAAAAAGTTCACAAAATAATCAATCCTGAGAAATTAAAACCATGGACTTTATTTCCAGGGACTAATACATTGCCAAGTGTTTATCAGGAACTTTTTTCAGACTTTCTTTCCTGATTCTAGGTTTCAGAATGTTTTCATTAAACTATGTAATGTCAAAGTAAGTTGCATGTAAGATCATACCTCCTCATTTTACTCTTTTTTTGTAAAAAGTTATTTTTTTGAGTTATGTGAAATAGATTGAAAGCAAATTTAACAGGTCTAGTGAGAGAGTTTCAGGGCTGGGGCGTAGTATACATGGAAGCTTGAGAAATTCGTATTTTCAGAAAACTGTAACTGCACTTGTTAATTTGTGTACAAAGGAACCATAGATTAATAACAATAAAGATAGACCACTAAATGTCGTCTTTTCAAGATTTAAGGGATTTTCGTTCAAAATAACCCTAAGGCAGAGGCCCAAAGGAGTTACGCGCATGATCTCTCTTTGTCTTGTAATTCAACGCTGCCTGCGCGATACTCCTTTGGGCTTCTGCCTCAGGGTTATGGTGAACGAAGACCCCTAAATCTTGAAAGGACGCCATCTAGTGTTCTATCTCTTATTTTAATTAATATATGACATGGAAGCTTTCGAAATTCGTATTGTCTAAATAAGGAATTGTACGATTGAGAAACTTGTTAATATATGTACAAAGGAACTGAGTTTTTGACGCTATGTCATTTGTCCTAAAATAATTTGTCCTTCAATTATTTGTACTACAAATCAGTTGTCCTACACATCATATGTCCTACAGAGAGGGGACAGCATTATTTGTCCTATTTGTTCTACACATCATATGTCCTACAGAGAGGGGACAGCATTATTTGTCCTAGACATCACATGTCCTACAGAGAGGGGACAACATTATTTGTTCTACACATCATATGTCCTACAGAGAGGGGACAACATTATTTGTCCTAGACATCATATGTCCATACACATCATAAAGTTTATACATAAATATCTGTTACTTCTATTTATATAATAATAATACGACATAGGGTCAAAAAGTGTGACAAAAGGGCAATGTTTTTTGGAGACAGCACATTATTAAATATCTAAGGGGACGCGGCGCTCGGCCCCAAATCCCATCCTAACCACAGCGCTCGGACCAGAAATAGTCTTAACTCTACCTAATCCAAAACAAGGTGAGATTTATTTAGTACATTAAAAGAAATTAAATTCAACTTTTAAAACGGTTTTGTAGGACAAATCATTCTTTGTTTTCGCACATTTTTTACTTGAGAACGCGATATTGCAAGAAATGTTTTAAATTTTGTAAATTTGCAAATTTTTTGGCAGATTATTAAAGTAGAGCCCAGGGGCTTTCCAAAAGTGTATCAATGTTATAGATTTGTATCAAACTAAGGAAATAGAGGGGACCCCCATGAAGACTATTTTGGTTAAACCAGACGTCAGCCTGAAGAGGGTCAACACCGAGAAATAAAGTAGGGCACGAGTCTAAAAGAAATAACGAAATTTGTTTACCCCCCCCCCGCATCCATCTTTCTATGTCTCAAGATTAATTGATTGAAGCAGTTTAGGTTTTTTATCGACAGTTTATACATTTTAAACTAATGTTCCTAATTGTTTTTAATACAGGGTCGATATTGAATTGTTTCGCAAAGCTTTGAAATTTGATTTTAATTCTCTAACTCACTTCAGCTTTTTGGGAGCCCTAAGCATTTGTATTTCAAAACTATAAAGCACTAGATTTTATCTATTGACTTTCAGAAATAATTTGTAAATTTTTCATTGATTTTTGCGCCAAAACTTGCAACTGTCACACTGACAGTATTCGGAAACTTAAAGTTCTTGACATAAACTTAAAAACATTTAAAAACAAAGTGTAAAAAGCCAAAAAAAAAACATTTTTATAGAAATTTCAAAAAATTCCAGCATTCAGCAAATATGTTAGCTTTCATCAATTATTTGTAATTCTGATCAAAACACATATAGTATGGTTTAGGTTTACTTATAAAAAGAATAAAAAAAATCTAATTCCTTCAAGCTAGAAACAGTGTTACAATACAATCAATTAGTCAAAGGCCAATAATAAATAACAAGTCAATTAGTTACGGTGTAGTAAATGCCCTACTCCATAACAGTTTCTCGAACAAGTATCTATCCAGGTACAACTCAGATTCTCTTGACCGTAGTGACACTATGATAAAAAAAATAAAGTTCAAATGTGCAACAAATAACTAAAAATAATAAGTCTTATTCATTTCCTAACTTTGAATTTGCTTCATCAAATAACTAAAAATAACTAGAAATAACCAGTAATAACAACTTTGTTGCCAGAATAAACTACCTCTTATTTTTCATGAAACATTGAACCCTTTCATTATTGCTAAAAAGCTTTCTAGGCCTTTTCAAGCTGTATAGACACACCCTTTTCAACTACGCAAGATGGGCATTACTGTAGTTTTCCTACCATATAACCTTTGTAAATAAACTATTGGATAAGTGTAAGTAAAGTTTATTTTTTTTTATAGAGTCTATGAGTAGTAAAAAGGATATTAGAAATATTTGGTAATACATCAATAGCGGTTTATGCTTACATAGAGGTCTGAATAAAATTGAATTAAAGAAAGTATAAAACTAAAAGTTTTAGTCTAATACCGTAAAACGTTAATATTTCAAGAATCTTTTAAAGACTCATATTCTATATATATACGCGAATTAGCGCACTATCAACATCAACACATGGCTACAATCCCATGAACTATCTACGCCACTACCACTGGGTATAATCTCGTGAGATATCAATATCAATGCCAAATCAATTGATACGATCCTCAACCTGTTTATCAAAACAGGGAATCACACGGCTACAATCTTGTGAACTATGAACGCCACTACCACTGGGCGTAATCTCATTAGCTATCAATATCAATCGGAAGCTCGTAACTTTCAATGCCAAATCAAAAAGCACAATTCTCAACCTGATGATCAAAACAGGGAACCATTTGAATACAATCTCGTGATCTATCAACACCACTACCACTGGGCGCGATCGTTGGGATTAAGCTAATCCAGCTACATATTTATTTAAAACACTGTTCAAATGAATAATCGGTTTTACGTAAAAGTTTACAGGCATAGATAGTTAATATTAATAATGTACAACATATTGCTGGTTTATAGAATATCGTGGTACATGATATTTATTACAACTGTATGGCAGCATATATATCATATATTATGTATATTTAAATATACGTTGGATATACTTAGTAGCGCTCTCGGAATAATGTATCAATTTATACCTTAAAGCAATTACAAAAATTATTTCAAATGATAACAATAAAATGTGCTCAGAGTCTTTCAAAATTTCTAAAATTTGGCCCTTAGAGTTGAAATGTGATACATGTCCCTATAGTCATAACGATTAACGTTTTAAGACCAGAAAATAAAAAATAATAAATTAATGATAAGGGTGCAAAGAATCTCTCACTTTAAATCCGTCAAAGATAGTGGTAAGAGATTTTAAATACTTGAATAATCAAAATACAAAGATAGTGGTAAGAGACTTTAAATACTTGAATAATCAAAATACAAAGATAGCGGTAAGAGACTTTAAATACTTGAATAATCAAAATACAAAGATAGCGGTAAGAGGTTTTAAATACTTGAATAATCAAAATACAAAGATAGTGGTAAGAGACTTTAAATATTGGAATAATCAATATACAAAGATAGCGGTAAGAGACTTTAAATACTTAAATAATCAAAATACAAAAGCCTAACAAAAAAAGCATAAACTACAAAATACGAAACCTTATTTTTAATGGGTTAAAATGGAATAAATTCTAATGTTTAGACTCACTGGACTTTTGACCAGGACCTTCAGTTTACCGTTAACACTTTAATTGATATCTACTAAAAATGAATTCCTTCGCCCCCTACCCAACCGCCTTTGTGTTAGGGGAGGGGGGATATGAGAAAGGGATGGTTCAAGTGTTACTTTGATACCATCTGGTTTCAAGCTAGAGGAGAATTGCTTAAAACTTTTTATATTTTCCACACACAAGTTTCCGGCGAATGTAATCATCATTTAGTTTATTTAAACTAAAAACATTCGATTCAGAAAAACTAGGATAAGGTTTAATTTGATCCTATCCAACCGTCTAGTGTTTACCCATTTCTAAATTTAAAAAAGCAAAGATTATTAAATAAAAAGTTAGTCGACAATTTAGAAGAGAACGATTCCTTCATTAAAACTTTTTGACATTATAATTAATTATCAGTTGAAATCCTTTCTGTTATATTGGATATAGGTTTAAGAATAACAAAACAGACAGGGGCGTAGGGATGGATCGTTTTCACTCTTTTGAAAACCGAACTGACCGTTTCGTTAATGACATGGAAAAAAAAGAACAACAAAACAATCGTTTTTCTAAGGGATTGGTTTATTCAAAAACGATAAACGATCGTTTTTTTCGTTTGTTTTTAAGACTGATTAACAACCCTACATGTGGTGCAATTTTGAATATTTTCAGAAGAATTCTGCACTTTTTTGGTTGGAAATCCTTGTTCAAGGAAACTTCATAAAAGCTATTTATCAAAATGATTTACATTTTTTCTTCAATTCTTCAAAGATACAGTGAATAAGTTTTTTCTTGTGAAAAATAATATTCTCAAAAACTTTCCAAAAGTAAAAATGTTTTTTTATCGTAGACAAAATGATCAGTCAACAGATCAATATGGATTCTCATTTTTAAAAAAATTATTTGGGATTTAAAGAATGTAAGTTTATGTAAATTCCCAAAACTAAAAAAATTTGATGAAAAAAATATAAATGTTTTTTTGATTTATTTTTATTTTGTTCTATCATGTTTGTTTTCTTGTATCCTTGGTTAAAAGAGAAATCAGGAAATTGAGTTAAAAACTTTTCTTTATTTTGTTTCAAACTGTTCTAATTTTGCATCTTTATTTATGTTTGGAACAAATGCATTTTATAAAGTCAGAGATATCATCTGTGCAAATATAAACCTAATGTTATAAAATATGGTATTGATAAGATTTTGAATTCAGAAAAAATATTGCACCAATGTCAGTTATATGTTTAATCTGCGTTGTCTCTTAAAAAGTCGGTAAGCGTGGTATTTGGCATGTTTAATTCACAATAGTACCCATTGAGACTTGTATCTTATCAAAAATAATGGAGTTATTTCTATTATTCCATTTAATATTTTATAATTTGATTATTTTGAATTGCAGTTTTTTATAACGGGAAGAAAATATGAGAAATGTTTTCTGATCTTTTTTAAAACACCGACCCGCCGTTTGTCTGTTCTATCGGACCTACCCTTTGCATCAAAAAACGATTAATTGTTTGTAAAATTTATCAACAACTAGAAGTACAGTGTTGAACAAGTTTTAGCGTTCTAATGTAAGCCGTTTTTCAGTTTTTTTTTAGAAAACAGTGTGAGAACCCCCCTCCCCCCATATGGTAAGATAGGGTTAAAATTTTGGTAAACAAAATGTGAATACGGATCGTTAAGATAATTTAGAAACGTACATTTCACTTTCAATATAATTAGGAATTTAGTCTTTGACAAAACCTGTAATATTATTATTCTAATCCCTATCAACCCAATGTCTAAAAGGGATGATATAATAATAGTAAACAGCGTTCCTTTTCCTCAATGTAACTTTGGGTTAAAAGGTATTCTTGTCAATCAAGTATCGAACTCATTGAGGTACACAGGATTCCCCAGGTATCACCTGGCATACTGAGGTACACAGGATTCCCCAGGTATCACCCGGCATACTGAGGTACACAGGATTCCCCAGGTATACCCCGGCATACTGAGGTACACAGGATTACCCAGGTATCACCCGGCATACTGAGGTACACAGGATTCCTCAGGTATACCCCGGTAAACTGAGGTACACAGGATTCTCCAGGTATCACCCGGCATACTGAGGTACACAGGATTCTCCAGGTATACCCCGGTATACTGAGGTACACAGGATTCTCCAGGTATACCCCGGCATACTGAGGTACACAGGATTCCCCAGGTATACCCCGGCATACTGAGGTACACAGGATTACCCAGGTAT